AATCGGGTTTTGGTTTAGAGGGTGAGGTCTGGCTGCAGCCAACGGAGATCAGACGCCGCAGTCAGGACGACCGCAAATGCGGTCTTCCCTTTATTTATTTCACACATATTTGTTGAGTCCTTACTATGTTCCAGGCACTCCGCTGGATAGTAGGGTATTGAAGACAGAAAAAAAGCCTATTTTCCCATCAGGAGCGGTGAGTCTAATGGAGATACTTGTCCAAATGAAAACTGCAGACAGTAAGATAACTCTTAGAATGGAGGTGCGGAAAGGCTGAGTCATGGCATGATTGGATTTGAATTTTGGTGAAGTCATTTTCTTGTGGGGAGGTGAGGTCAAGGCTGGAGTCCGGGGGGCACTGAGTGAGAGCTCTGAAAGCATGAACGTGGTGGTGGGGGGCCTGGCCAAGAGTTTCTTGGAAGTACCAATCACCAATTTGAAAATTTGATGATTGAATGTGACTGAAAAGGGGGACCTGAGGAAGGTTCTAAATTTCAGGCCTGAGTCCCCGGTGGATTATGATACTATTTACATAGCTAGTGACCACTGCAACAAGCGTAGGTTTAGGGGCAAAGAAAATTAATCTGTTATTTTGAGATGGAATCTTACTCTGTTGCCCAGACTGGAGTGCCGTGGTGTGATCTCGGCTCACGGCGACCTGCACCTCCTGGGCTCAAGTGATTCTCCTGCCTCAGCCTCCTGAGTAGCTGGGACTGCAGGCCCATACCACCATACCCGGATAATTTGTGTATTTAGTAGAGATGGGATTTCATCATCTTGGTAAGGCTGGTCTTGAACTCCTGACCTTGTGATCTGCCCACCTCCGCCTCCCAAAGTGCTGGGATTGCAGGTGTGAGCCTCTGTGCCCCGCCTCCTTTTGTCTTGTCTTCCTGTTTATGACTATCCTCATTTAAAGTGGTATCTTCTCATTTCAGCACTTACAGAAAGCTGTGGCTGTTAACCATTCCTTTTTCAAGTTGTGAGTCATACTAAAATATTTATGTATAATGTGTGGACAAGCCCTCGAAAGGGATTGTCGTTTCCATAAGATGTATCTCTTGATTCACTGAGGCCTTTTGATGATAAGGATTCACAAAGGGTTTTAGATCAAAGGTTGTTTAACTGAAGGAACACCTCCGACCTCAGCCAACAACCACATACACGTTAAAAACTCTCAACCTCAGCTTTTCCCTGGAAAAGAGAGGAATGGGTTGTTGGCTACTTCCTGGCTGGCTGTGGTGGTCGTATTGATGGTGGGCTCAGCTGTGCACTGAATATCGGCGCTGGCTGGGCTTGCTCCAGCTGGCACAGGTGTGCGTGGAGTAGTGCCGTGAGGAGCGGGAGCTGGTGCTGATGTGCTGTCAGCCCTGGGAGAGCACTGAGCTCCACGTGTCTGAGTACATATGGATTGGTCCTGGGAGTCACTGCAGACTGGGCTAGAGGTGGCAGCAGAGGCATGAGGCATTCGGTAGTCCAGGAACCAGGAAGGCCCCGTGGACTGTGAGCTCCCGGAGTACGGGTATTGTTCTCCTGTACCCTCAGACCCCCGCCTGGGGCAATGCCTGGCACTCTGGAAACCAAAATACCTATTTGTTAAATGTCAGCAGCTGAGCCACAAATGACAGTAAGTTGAATGAGGAAGGTAGTGCTTCAAGGAAGAGTAGTAAAGACGAAGAAAAGAGGGCCGGGCGCGGTGGCTCACGCCTGTAATCCCAGCACTTTGGGAGGCCGAGGCGGGCAGATCACAAGGTCAAGAGATCAAGACCATCCTGGCTAACATGGTGAAACCCTGTCTCTACTAAAAATACAAAAATTAGCTGGGTGTGGTGGTGCACACCTGTGGTCCCAGCTACTCGGGAGGCTGAGCCAGGAGAATCGCTTGAACCTGGGAGGCGGAGGTTGCAGGGAGCAGAGACTGGGCCACTGCACTCCAGCCTGGTGACAGAACAAGACTCTATCTCAAAAAAAAAAAAAAAAAAAAGAGAAGAGGGGTTCTCAGCCAGGGATGGCTCACGGGGTTTCTGCAGAGTGAATGCGTCCCTACGTCAGAGTCAAATCCAGACTCCAAGGGCTAGCATCGAAGTCAACTGTGATGTGCAGACACGCCTGTGCCTACAGTGGCCTCCTGTCTGTGGCACTTCTTCCATGTGGCTGCGTTACAAACATATTCTAAATAAGCAATCGATTGCAGGCTGCCCGAAACCAAACCGTTTGGTGCCTTGAAAGCACAAGGCACTGGTTATGTGAAAACACAGGAAACTGTATCTTTGCATATATGGGGGCCCGAATACATTTCGTTTGCGTAAATGAACATTTCCTAGTGAAAACGTGGGGGTGGAAATCTTCTGCGTCTGTGGGAGAATGTGAATCTCTGGATGGATAATGGCTCTTTGGCTGAGGGAGAAAAATCACTTACTGGTGGTTAAGAAGTCCAGCCATGGTCCACACTTTAACCCTCTGGGACCTGTTTATCTGTAAACTGAGGTGGTGCTCTGTTGTGGAAGGGGCCTTTGCAGGTCCTAAGCTCTGAGTTGTGATTGGAGCCTCTCTGGCCCTGTCATTGACAAGGGCGCCCGAGGCAGGCCTCATGGTTTGCATCACTTCAAGGAGACTTGATGAGCCTTCACCGTCCATGCTTCCCGCCATGTGACTGAGTGTCTCCCTCCTGAGCCACTCACTGCTGCTGCAGTGGGAAGAGGCCTCTTATTTATGCATTGATTAATCAGTGCACGCTGAGGAGCTGTTCAGGGCAGTGAAACAGGGAACACAAAACGCTGGAGCCTGTCATCGAGATGGATCGTAATTAAGAACGACCCCCCCACTGCTGATGATCCTGCCCCCTCCCCACACCACCCTTCCCTGCCTACGCTCATCAACCCCCGTTCAGCTGTGAAGGGGTTTCGTACCCCGTAAAAGCTGACAGTGAATTTCAGAAGGGCAGATTTTCTCCCTAATGGCCTGGAGGTAAATAAGCCTTGAGATGAGTTTTATCAATTATCTGCAACAAGTGTTGAACCTCAGACGGTCACCCAGGCCCCCAAATGGCATAGTGGCCCTGTTCATATATGCACAGGCCCGACTCTCCAGTCCCAGTTTCTCCACGAATGGAGTTACGGAGCTGGAAGGTCCTTACAGTAAGGATAGGCCATGACCCTGTGTGGCAGCTGAGAGGCTCAGGGAGATCCAGTACGTGGCCTGAGGTCACTACAGAACTCCCAGGTCACAGGTGGCAGGACAGGAAACTGATCCTCAGTGAACACTCCTGGGGCTTGTTCCTCTGTGCGACCCTCCTCTCCTGTAACAGTGAAAGCCAAGTAAAGAAGAGACATTGCTCTCATTCCATCCATTTCCTGGTTTCTTTTTGATATGGGCCTCTGAGCTAGGTTTTTATTTTATCTATAAACATTTTATAAATATATATAATAAGAATATATATATTATTTTGTAAGGTTTTCTCTCTGTGTTGCTCAGGCTGGTCTCAACCAGCCTTAAGGGATCCTCCAGCTTCAGCCTCCCAAGTAGCTGGGACTATGGGTGCCAGCCACCACACCTGGCAAGACTTTTTTATTTTTTTGAGACAGAGTCTTTCTCTGCCACCCGGGCTGGAGTGCAGTGGCACGATCTCGCCTCACTGTAGCCTCTGCCTCCTGGGTTCAAGCAGTTCCCTGCCTCAGCCTCCTGAGTAGCTGGGATTACAGGCACCCACCACCACGCCCAACTAATTTTTGTATTTTTAGTAGAGATGGAGTTTCACCATCTTGGCTAGGCTGGTCTTGAACTCCTGACCTTGTGATCCACCCGCCTTGGCCTCCCAAAGGCTGGGATTACAGGCGTGAGCCACCGCACCCGGCCACAAGATGGTTTTTGTGAGACATGTCTGGCTCTGCTGCTCGGGCGACGCAGTGGCGGTCATAGCAGCCTCGAACTCCTGCCCTCACACAATCCTCCCAGCCCGGGCTCCTGAGTAGCTGAGGCTGCAGGCGTGTGTCACAATGCCTGGCTGATTTTTAAGTGTTTTGTAGAGATGGGGTCTTACCGTGTTGCCCAGGCTGGTCTTTGAGCTCCTGGCCTCAAGCAGTCCCCCTGCATCAGCCTCCCAAAGTGCTGGGATTACAGGCCTGAGCCACTGCGCCCAGCCAATATTTTAAAATAGTGGTTTTAGATGAAGTTTGAGGGGAAATGTATCTTGGACTGTTTTGTTTTAGTGGGTTAGAATATCAGATACCTGGGTAGAGACATGGCCAGCTTGCCAAGGGGCAAATAGTAAACATGAGTCCGTCTACACAGGTTTGCTGGGCTGCTTGGTGCCTCCCATCCCATAATGCCTGGCAAACATCTGTTCCTTCTGATTGAACACCCTGCAAGAGCCTAGGGAAGGCTGTAATTTTTTAGTGGATGTAAGAATAAGAGGCCGGCGTGGTGGCTCACGCCTGTAATCCCAGCACTTTAGGAGGCTGAGGCAGGCGGATCACAAGGTCAGGAGATCGAGACCATCCTGGCCAACATGGTGAAACTCCATCTCTACTCAAATACAAGAAATTAGCCAGATGTGGTGGCGGGTGCCTGTAGTCCCAGTTACTTGGAAGGCTGAGGCAGGAGAGCCGCTTGAACCCAGGAGGCAGAGGTTGCAGTGAGCCAAGATCACGCCACTGCACTCCAGCCTGGTGACAGAGCGAGACTCCGTCTCAAAAACAAAATATAACAACGACGCCAGCATACAAATGTTCTTGTTTGACCCGCCTGGCAAGGAGCATACTTAAAAGTCTTTTTTTTAAAACTTCTTTTTAAAAGTTTTCACTATAAAATTCTTACATTTGTCAGAGGTGTTTATCAGAAGTAGGGGCTTTTCTGCCCACGTGGTTTCTCATCTCTGTTGATGCCAGTCAGACCATCAAACTCCTTGGGCACAGCCAGGGCGTAGCTCGTGAGCCAGGTGTCTGACTTGCACTGGGCAATCCTGAGTGACGGAATCTCCTTTCCTCTGCTTCCGTGTTCTCTAGGACCCTGCTTTCTCAGCTGTGATTCACGACAAACTCCAGGTCCCCAACACCATCCGGAAGGCGTGGAATGACCGGGACAACCGCTGTGACGTTTGCGCCACTCACCTGAACCAGCTGAAGCAGGAGGCCGTCCAGATGGTGCTGGCCTTGGGGCAGGCCGCTGGCAGCGAGCACTACGACGCCTCGCCCGGCTCGCCCCCGCCGCTCTTCAACATCCCCACCCTGGGGGGGTCCCGGCACGTGGGCGGGCTCCAGCAGCCCAGGGACTGGGCCTTTGTGCCCGCCCCCTATGCCACCTCCAACTACACAGGCCTCGCCAACAAGCACAGCAGCAAACCCAGCAGCCTTGGGGTCAGCAATGGGGCGGAAAAGAAGAGCGGGTCCCCAACTTACCAGGCCAAGGCCAGCCTCCAGATGGCCACCAGTCCAAGCAATGGGAACATCCTCAATTCAGTGGCCATCCAGGCTCACCAGTACCTGGAAGGCACCTGGTCCCTGTCGAGGACCAACGGGGTCACCCTGTACCCATACCAGGTAAGTCGCCTGTGTGAACCAGGAAGATCAGGGCTGGAGTGAAAGCAGAGAAGTGGGGAGCACTTCCTTCCTCTGCCTCCTCCTGGGAACCCCGTCCCTCAGAGCCTAGCGTTTCCATGTGAGCCCGCAGAGTTCTCGCCAGCGTGCTCCACCCGCGCCTGCTGTGGGAGGGTGCTGCTGTATCCTCCAAAACCCCCCACAGCTGCCCTTTCTCCGCCCTCAGCGCCCCCTTCCTGAGAGACCCTGCTGGTCCAGGTGATGCCAGCGGCTTCTCAGCCAGCAGGTTTGCCACATGGCGTAGCCATGAAGAGCAGGGCCACGGAGATACTTGGAGTGGGGTCCGATCCCGGACTCGTCCACTTATTAGCAATGTGACCTTGCACGAGGGGTTTGCCCTGTCTCAGGCTCAAGTCCCCACTTACACACGGACGTGAGTCATAAGAATTAAGTAAGGTAGCGTTGGCATGACATGTACCCCAATACCTGCCACATATAGGGGATCCTTGTTGTGCTGTTAACAGAGATTTGAGATATTAAGACAAATGAGTGACAGGCTTTTGAAACAAAGGATATTGTGAGTCCCTGAAATCGTGATTTTAAAGCAACCCATGGGAAGTACTGGGCATTGCCGAGAGTAAAACATGTGAAGGAACCACGGTCCGTGCTGGCACTCTGCTTCCTCTGTCTAGACCGTCTAAAAGAGGTGTAGACGCCCTTCCTAACCTCTTCTCCCTTCATAGACCCGAACTCTCTTCTATTTGCAACTCACCTTAAGAACTGCTGGGACTGGGCAGCCAAAAGCGTTTTTTTTTCCCTTTTCAGTTATTTAAATTAGCGCATGCCCCCATGTTTCCCCATAGAGATGGAAAACAGGTCTTCAGTCTCCTAGGGAATCTTTAAAGATGTTCTAATATTGCCTGTGTGAGTTTCTGTTGGCTGAGGACTGGATTTTTTAATGTAAGCGGCCCCTACATCCCCTGCATCAGTGGTGGGAAGCAGCGGAGAGCGTTGACCGTCGCTGGAGTGAAGGGGCGGCCACGGTCAAGGGTGTGTTATTCAGAGAAGCGGTTGGTACATACAGCACATCATCCTGAAGACCTCGGGTTCTCTCTTACTTGGATCTGTGTCATAGTGGGTGTTTGGTGGGTGGCTTTGCTGCGATGTGGGGACACAGACTTCTTCCACCAAATGTGTCACCATCTTCCAGGGGCCTCGAGAGTCCTCCACAACATCTTCTGTAACCAGCCAGGAAATGAGGGAAGAGAGAGTGTATGGAGGATGTCACAAGAGGATTTTGGGGCCCAGCTTTGCCTGAAGGGGATATGCATTGCTTACATGTATATTCCAGTGACAGGACTCCAGTCTCTGCTGGGCTTGGTGGCTCACACTTATAATCCCAGCACTTTTGGGTGGGTGGATTGCTTGAGCCCAGGAGTTGTATGCCAGCCTGAGCAACATGGAGAAACCTCATCTCTACTAAAAATACAAAAATGATCCAGGTATGGTGGCATGAGCCTGTAGTCTCAGCTACTTGGGAGGCTGAGATGGGAGGATTGCTTGAGCCCAGGAGGCAGAAGCTGCAGTGAGCCGAGATTGCACCACTGTACTCCAGCCTGGCTGACAGAACAAGACTCTGAATCGGTAAAAAAGAAGAGAGAGAGACAGACAGACAGATAGTGTCATGTCTTGACCCCGCCTTCCCACTGGGGAACCTGGGGAAGCCAATGTACCCATGAGCCCAGGAGAAAAGGGAGCAAGTCGAGGGAACACATAGTATAGTTTTGTTAGGTGGGACAAAGGTCCAGGGATTCGCGAAGTGAGTTAAATGCGTTGATAAAATTCCTGGTGATGTTTTCTAGAGTGTTTGAGAGTATGTGTGTCTCTTGCTATCTTGAAAGAAAGTGGGAAACACTGAATATTATCCTAAGATGTTAGCATTCTTGGATTGTCGAACTCGTCATTTCACTGAGTGCTTTCTAATTTGCCGAACAGAACATACATATTATTTCATTTAACCCCAAGGTAGGTGTATGAGAGAGGCGGGCAGGTGTGGGATCTTCCTTTTGCAGACAGGGAACATGATGCTCAGAGATGCGGAGTGATTGTGGCCACGCGGCCCGTGGCATGATCAGCTCCAGCCTCCCTGCCCGGGGAGTGCCTTTGCCTACCACCCCAGCTTCCAGCTTCCCTAGGCTACCCCAGCGTCAGCCACCCACATCTCTCAGTTCCTGTTCAGATCTGCTGTAACAAAGACAAGAACTAGTTTGACCTGCAGGGATCTCGTCGCCCCGAGACTTTCGGATAGAATTATCTGGGCTGTGTGTATAAGTAGAATGAGGGACCAGTGGCGTCCTGGGAGAGGCTTCACGGTCTCATCTCGGAAGTGACCATCTAGGGCAGGAACAGAGAAGGGCTTCTTTGCATTATGGGATGGTCTGCTTATTTTGCTGTTGTTTGCAGTTTTAAAATACGCTATTTAGAAAATCATAAAAAGTTACATGTTGGTTGTAGAATAAAATTTAAAATATGTGAAAAAGTTTAAATAAGACTTTAAAAGTCGATGTGGCCCAGATGGAAACTATGTGACATTTGGGTATACTTCCTCCTAATATGTCATACCTGGCAATCTGTAAAATTGTGAGCAGGTTCAATGAATTATGTGCCCTGCATTTCACTTAATACGGTGGATACATTTCCCCATGCCTTTGTATGTTTTCCTAAAATATTCTCTTTGGCAGTAGCATATTTCATTATATCAATATTATCGGCTCCATGGCAATGTCCTAATTAGGTTGGTGCAAAAGTCATTGCGGTTTTTGGCATTACTTTCAATGGCAAAAACCGCAATAACTTTTGCACCAATCTAATTATCTCCAAACACCAATTCACTAGAATTTAGGTCTTTGCTACTATAAATAAAAGGCTCAGGTGAACATCCTTCTACCCAGGCCGTATTTTCAACACATCCCTGGGTTGTGTGAGCCACATCCTCATGTTACACAGACAAGTCACATTTCACCTCCCACGACTCCAGTGTGCTGGCAGCACGTGGCCGGCGCCAGTCAGGAGACTCAGCTGCCGCGCCAGCGCTAACGAGCAAGGACCGCTGAGCGTGGAACTGGCGCTTTCATGGAAAATATTCAAAGTGCGGTCAGAGTTTGTGTGTGAGGGGGACGCTGAGGATGCTGCTGAAAAGGCCGATGAGGGATTACTGGTGTGTTTCTTTTATTTGTGCAATGGTTCTATTCCTCCTCTTTTTTTTTTTTTTTTTTTTTTTTGAGACGGAGTTTCGCTCTTGTTACCCAGGCTGGAGTGCAATGGCGCGATCTCGGCTCACCGCAACCTCCGCCTCCTGGGTTCAGGCAATTCCCCTGCCTCAGCCTCCCGAGTAGCTGGGATTACAGGCACGCGCCACCATGCCCAGCTAATTTTTTGTATTTTTAGTAGAGACGGGGTTTCACCATGTTGACCAGGATGGTCTTGATCTCTCGACCTCGTGATCTACCCGCCTCAGCCTCCCAAAGTGCTGGGATTACAGGCTTGAGCCACCGCGCCCGGCTTTTTTTTTTTTTTTTTTTTTGAGACAGAGTTTCACTCTTGTTGCCCAGGCTGGAGTGCAGTGCTGTGATATCAGCTCACTGCAAGCATCGCCTCCCAGGTTGAAGCAGTTCTTCCGCCTCAGCCTGCCGAGTTGCTGGGATGACAGGCATGCGCCACCACACCCAGCTAATTTTGTGTTTTTTAGTAGAGACGGGATTTCTCTATGTTGATCAGGCTGGTCTTGAACTCTCGATCTCAGGTGATGTTTGGCCTACCTTGGCTTCGCAAAGTGTTGAGATTGCAGGTGTGAGCCACTGTGCCCTGCCTATCTCTGCTCTTTCTTCCCAACCTCAGATGAAAGAGAATTTGCTGTACAGGTGTCTAGCCAAGTGCCAGGCACTGCGCTAGGTGGCAGGTGGGGCTGCAGCCTCAGGCTGGAAGTCCTGGTTCCTGTCCTGAGGTCCTCACAGTGAGGGAGGAGCCAGGTGGGTGCAGAGGTGAAGAGATGCCCACTGCTTTGGGAGCATGCAGACAGACTCATAATCCAGCCTGCTGTGGCAAAGCCAGATAAACCAAGATTGACATAAGCCACCAACTTGCAGTCGTCCTGGGTACGTTACGTTTCGTCTTTCCGACTCCAGAACAGATCAATTCATGCATTTCCCCCGAGTAATAAAGGGACCAGAGGAAGCCTCTGTGCGATAAAGGGATTTGGTGCCTGGCTGTGAGTCAGTGTGAATCCACGTCCCTGTTTTGTGACTGTGTCGTCCTGATGCCCTGGGGTGGGGACTCTGGGTCTGGCCAGACTGAGTGTCTCCTGTCGCGGACATCTCCCTGCCGTAAATACTCTGCAGTTCACAGTCTAGCCAGCTCGTCAGAGATGGTTGACTGCTCTGAAAGCTGACCTCATTTTTCCTGCTCACCCGTACTCCCACTTCCCTCCCCATAGAGCAGATGGCCTCTGGATTAGTGCCAGAGCTGTTCCCGGGGCAGAGAAGCATCTAGACTTTGTCACTACCAGGGGTGCGGCTCCACCCGAGCCTCTAGAAATGAGGGAGAGGACGACTCTGTCCTTCTACAATTTAGATGTAGCCAGGATGAAACGGCACGGACAGGCTTTCCAGCAGGGAGCCTGGTGAAGCCTGCGTCACGTGGCCGATAGAGCGGTCCCTCCTCCATCCCTGTTACCCACACCGCTGTGTACTCATCTCCAAACCTGCAGTAGGAAGAGTCTTGATTCTCTTCTGCTGTATCCTTCGCGTTTCTCAAGTACCTCCAGAGAGACCAGGAACCTGTAAGCATCACAGATAAACAGAAATCAATCCAGAGAGATTTTAAAAAGAGCAATTTAGGAAGTACTGAGCTTACATCGAAAATGCAGAACAAACCACAGAGATCGTGCTCATTAAGTATCTTAGAAAATTGATATAATAGAAGATAAGACGAGCTTTCAAAGAAAGACTTTTTGTTAATTTGCAGACATTTATCATAATCTATGCATACATAGAGAAAGCAGATGATTCTCTAAGAACAGGGCTCCCCAGACCCCTGTTAGGCACCCCTTATGAGAATCTAATGACTGATGGTCTGAGGTGGAACCGTTTCATCCCATCTCCACCCCGAATTGTCTTCCATGAAACGGGTCCCTGGTGCCAAAAAGGTTGGGGATTACTGCTCTAGAACCTTCATTTTTTTCCAACTTTTATTTTCTGTTTGGGGGTGCCTGTGCAGGTTAGGTGGGTAATTGCATGTCACTGGGGTTTGGTGTACAACTGATTTTGCCACCCGGGTGGTGAGCATAGTACCCCATGGGTCGTTTTCTGTGGGGTGCTCCTCCCACCCACCACCCCAAGTAAGCCTGGTATCTATTTTCCCCCTCTTTGTAACCGTGTGTTAGAACCTTCATTTGACCACATGAAATTGTGACTTTGAAAGGATGTGTCTAGATTAGTTCCTTGTAATCAACTACAGATTAGTTATCTCCTTTTGAGCGGCAGCTGCTCTTGCCTGATTTACATGTATTCTACTAAATAACTGCAGGAGAGACTACACATCAGAATTATAGGGCGTGGGTGTTAGAATCCGCTTCTGTAGGTGGTCATGGCTCTTGCATCATGGTAGGAGATTTGGAGACAGAGTCTTATCTGGTTCAAGGCTGTGGTTCCACAGCTATTAGACCAGCTTAGTAGCTTGACATCTTAGTCTGTTTCCTTACCTATGAAACTCCTACCTCACAACGTGATTATAGGGAATCATTAGGAAGAGGGCGTGAAAATATTTTATGAACTAGAAAGCAGGAACACCAATAGAAATTGTCTACTTCAACCCTTTCATTTCCCAGAGGAGAGACCTGAAGCTGAGAGATGTGTTGAAGGCTCCTTTGCTCAGAGTTTTCTAAATCCTAGTTTGATCTCTTTTGCTGGATCACACACTCTCGGACCACAGGTGACTCATTTTATTCTTGTGTCCCTCACAGCAGCTAACGTGCACGTGCTTCATTAGAGAGAGCTCCTGTGTCAGGGAGCAGTGTAATTATCTCCCATGACTGGCCCTAGTTTGGGAAAGAATTCCAGGCCAAAGACCTATCTAGAACCCAAGAATTTTGGTGGAAACTACCAGTTATTTGATTCCAAGCTAATCTTTAAGCTGAACTTTTTTTTTTTTTCTTTTGAAATGGAGTCTCACTCTATCACTCAAGCTGGAGTGCAATGGCACAATCTCGGCTCACTGCAACCTCTGCCTCCTGGGTTCAAGCAATTCTCCTGCCTCAGCCTCCCAAGTAGCTGGAACTACAGGTGCCTGCCACCACACCTGGCTAATTTTTGTATTTTTGGTAGAAACAGGGTTTCACCGTATTGGCCAGGCTGGTCTCAAACTCCTGACCTTGTGATCCGCCCACCTCGGCCTCCCAAAGTGCTGGGATTACAGGCATGAGCCACCGCGCCTGGCCAACCTGAAGTATCTTAATGATACTTAATAAATCCTTAGATACAATGAAAAGAACCTAGCTGGGCATTTTCATGTCGCACTCGATACAGGGGCGTTTGAAAGGATAGAAGAACTTTATTTCATAGGATTTCACTCAACTGAACTTGTCAAGAAAATTCAGAAGATGTTAGAGTAATATACAAGTAATAAATCTGGCACGTGGCTCACGCTTATAATCCCAGCACTTTGGGAGGCCAAAGCAGGTGGATCATGAGGTTAAGAGATCAAGACTATGCTGGCCAACATGGTGAAAACCCCGTCTCTGCTAAAAATACAAATATTAGCTGGGGGTGGTGGCACTCACCTGTAGTCCCAGCTACTCAGGAGGCTGAGGCAGGAGAATCAGTTGAACCTGGGAGGCGGAGGTTGCAGTGAGCTGAGATCATGCCACTGTACTCCAGCCTGGGCGACACAGACTCCATCTCAAAAAACAAAAACCAAAAAAACAAGTAATAGATCCGTAATGGAACATTGATGCAAGGAAAGTAGTCCATGTGCATTCCTTGAGTTGGAGGAAAACACTCTCATTACAAATTTTCCTGCTTCTCTAAAAGCAGCCATTGGAATTAATGTCAGAGATAATGCTAGACTGAGCTCTGGCTGAAGTCACGATGGGGTTGTCTCTGTTACAGCTTTAGAAATAATCGTGCCTATGAATCATAGTCATCACTGACCTTTACATTTTAAGATGTGAGCACAGTCTGGGCACAGTGGCTCAGGCCTGTAATTTCAGCACTTGAGAGGCCAAGGTGAGAACTGCTTGAGGCCAGGAGTTAAGAGACCAGCCTAGACAACACAGTGAAACCCCATCTCTACAGAGAAATAAAGTTAGCCAGGCCTGTGGCATGCCTGTAGTCCCAGCTACTCAGGAGGGTGAGGCAAGAGGGTTCTTTGAGCCCAGGAGTCACAGGCTGCAGTAAGGTGTGAGTGTACCAGTGCCGCCTCTCGCCTAGGTGACAGTGAGACCCCTGATGGTATCTCCAAAAAAAACAAAAGTTGGGGGGCACAAAAGGATGCAAAAGCAGCACCAGCCTCAAAATAGATGAGAGTTTGCTGAACGGCAGGACCTCTACACGGCATGAATCTCGCTCCTGAGATCAGAAGCCCTGGGGGAACTTGCTGCCAGCGGATTTCCAGGTGTCCTGGTGGAGGAAGGGGAGACTCTGAGGCCCGCCACGTGCTGTCGTACTCAGAGGCTTTGTTTATCGTGGCTTCCTGGAAACCGGGAGCATGTGTTCTGGTAATGGCTGACGATGGGAGATGAGGCATACAAAGTTCTTCGTGGCTGAATCACGTTTCCAGAAGGCGCAGGGGTGGGTGTTTCCAGTAGGTCAGGAGTGTAGGATTTTCGTTCCCACCCCTGGCAGCTCTTGAGGGCACACTCAGCCACTTGTGCCCTGAGTTTTGCTGCACCCCGCGTCGCGTGCCAGCACTGGGGTCAGATGCTTCCATCTGCTGCAGCTTCTGCCCGGCCAGGCAGTAGTGTAAGATGCCACTGTTAGACAAATAATGACCCTGACGAGATTCTTAAGACCGTGGGTTTTGCTTTCTCCTGTTTGTGGGTGGTCCAAGGGATATTAGATTATTTATCTTTATGCTTTTTGACAAATCATGAATACAGAAAAAAGAATCTGCATATTCAGTCATGGACAGCATATGTCTCAAGGCCATAGTGTTCAGGGTGAAATTCCAAAAGGGTAGTCACACCTTATGAATGTGGATAGGGCCGGTGGTCTGAAGGGAACACCCAGACCTCATTAGGAGAATTACAAATCAGTTTAATCTGGGCATTTGCTTGGTGTGGTAGACTGAATAGGGGCCCCCAACGATGTCTGCACCCTGATCCCCACAGTCTGTAGATGTGTTACCTTACACAGTACAAAGGCCTTTGCAGGTGTGATTAGGGATCTTGAGATGGGGGATCATTTAATTTAATTATTATTACTATTTTTGCATCTCGCTCTGCCACCCAGGAGTGCAGTGGCACGATCTCAGCTCGCTGCAACCTCCACCTCCTGAATTCAAGCGATTCTCCTTCCTCAGCCTTGGGATTACAGGCAAGGACAACCATGTCAGGCTCATTTTTGTATTTTTAGTAGAGATGGGGTTTCGCCATGTTGGCCAGGCTGGTCTTGAACTCCTGGCCTCAAGTGATCTGCCTGCCTTGGCCTCCCAAAGTGCTGGGATTACAGGTGTGAGCCACTGCGCCCGGCCAAGGAGATCATTTTAGACTCTTTGGGTGGACCCAGAGTAATTACAAGGATCCTGAAAGAGGGAGGCAGGAGGGTCAGAACCAGGGAGAGGAGTTGGGGAGACAGAAGCAGAGGGCAGAGACGAGAGAGACACCAATCTGCCGGCTTCCATGATGGAAGAAGAAGCCTCTCGAAGCTGGGGGAAGCAAGCATCTGATTCTCCCCTTGAGCCTCTAGAAGGAGGCAGCCCTGCAGGGCCATTTTTGACTTCTGGTCTCCAGAACTTTAAGAGGGTAAATTGACTGGGTGCGATGGCTCACACCTGTAATCCCAGCACTTTGGGAGGCCAAGGTGGGTAGATCACGAGGTCAAGAGATCGAGACCGTCCTGGCCAACATAATGAAACCATGTCTCTGCTAAAAATACAAAAATCAGCTGAGCGTGGTGGTGCGTGCCTGTCGTCCTAGCTACTTGGGAGGCTGAGGCAGGAGACTCACTTGAACCTGGGAGGCGGAGGTTGCAGTGAGCTGAGATTGTGCCACTGCACTCCAGCCTGGCGGCAGAGTGAGACTCCATCTCAAAAGAGAAAAAAAAAAAAGGATACCTTTCTGTTGTTTTAAACTGCTGAATTGGTGCTATTTTGCTTCAGCAGCAACGGGAAGCTGTTCTACCTGGTAAGCCTTTGGTTAACCGGACAGCCTGGTAAGGAGACGCGGGATGGGGCCTACAGACGAGGGGCCCTGCAGACACCCGCAGATGGCCAAGAACACAGGCTTTTCATCTTCACAGCAAACTCCGTTCCCCTGCGGATGGGCCGCTCCAGACACAAGTCAGTCCTTTCATTTGGGTGCCTTCACAGATTGAGAGGTTACTCACACCACACCGCTGGATTTCGATTGTCTCAGACCTCCCTATTGTGACAGAATCATCATAACGAGCGCACCACAGCCACTCTCCATTGATAGCTAGTAATTACAATTCCGTAAGTCTCGTACTGGCGAAACTGCAGAAATCGTTCCAAGCTGGGGTGGGAGGGATGGAAGGAACG